CATCCCCTCCCCTCCCCTCCTAGCAGCCTGCAGACCCTGACCCCAACTGCAGTCCTTACCATCCTCTCCTCTCTGATAACCCCTTCCAGAGGGAATCCGTGCGCACCATTCGCTCCATCAGTTTCTTCCAGAGCATCCCGTCGGAGATGACCCGGTACCATTCCTTACAGACCAGCTCAGCGGCACACAGGGACCGGGCATCCAGGAACGACAGGATGTTCTCTGCAATGTGGTCCAGGCCACGGGCTGCACAACGAGAGACAAAACAAGGTGAGGATGAAAAAGCTGAGGCTGAACCAGCTGAGGCAGTGGCACCAGCTTACCCTCAGCACTGGGCTCAGCTCCAACTAACCCAATCCAACAGCAGACCCTGAGCCTCTCTCTGGTGCTGGGAGTTGGCACAGACTCAGGTACTAAATGCCAACATCTCCTCTGTTATGGTCTTTGGGCACAGGCCACCACAGTCCACAGCAAGGCCATTCAGCCCCTCAGACCTTCTACATCATTGAACAAAGTCAGGTCTGATCCGTGACCATATTCCATTCCTTTCCATCACCTCTCCCAAGTTCATGAAAATCTCGCTGGACTCCCTCAGATTCTTACTGACTAGGGAGTCCAGCGAGGGTTCACCAGACTGATTCCCGGGAGAGGAGGACTGGCATTTGAGGAAAGACTGGAATCGACTGGGCTTGCACTCGCTGGAATTTAGAAGAATGAGGGAGGTATCTCATTGAAACATATAAAATCCTGATGAGACTGGACAGGGTAGATGTGGGAAGAATATTCCCAGTGTTGGGGAAGTCCAGAATTAGGGGTCACAGTCTAAGAGTAAAGGGTAAGTCTTTCAGGACTGAGATGAGAATGAATTTCTTCACCCAGAGTTGTGAACCTGTGGAATTCTCTCCCACAGGAAGCTGTTGTGGTCAGTTCATTAGATATATTCCAGAGGGGGCTGGATGTGGCCCTTATGGCTCAAGGGATATAGAGAGAAAGTGGGAATGGGATACTGAGGTTGTATAATCAGCCGTGATCACATTGAATGGTGGTGCAGGCTCGAAGGGCCAATTTTCTATGTGTCCATCACCTCAAATTTTAAAAATCTGCAACATAAGCGGTAAAGCGAACTATACTTGTGCTGGATGTTTACACAAGAGCCTAACAGTTCCACAGCCCAGAATTCTGATGGCTCTAAACTAATTCCCACCAATGTCTGTGTGGATTTGCAGCCTGGGGCTTCTGGTATTACTTTCTGCTATTTTTGGAAGTGTTGTTGTTGGGCAGGTTGGTCATTCTGTCTGAGAACTTGGGTCACCTGTCAGTTTCCACCTTAAATCCACAAATCATGGCAATCTCTCTCTCTCTCTCTCTCCTTCCCAACTTCTGATTTTCTAAGGCCTTTGTTCTTTTGATAAAGCAGTACAGGCTAAATTGTAGGCCGGATACAACACAGAGTCACAGGGCTGGGCAGCACAGAAACAGGTCCTTTAGTCCAACTCATCCACGCCGACCAGATATCCTAAATTAGTATCCAGACCCATATCCCTCTGAACCCTTCCTATGCATAAACCCATCCAGATGCCTTTTAAATGTTGTCGTTGTACCAGCCTCCTCCACTTCCTCTGGCAGCTCATTCCACCCTCTACGTGAAAAAAGTGCCCCTCAGGCCCCTTTTAAATCTTTCCCCCTCTCACCTTAAACCTACAGTTTTGGATTCCCCTACCTTGGGGAAAAGACCTTGGCTATTCACCTAATCCATGCCCCTCATGATTTTAAAAACTGCCCCTCAGGCCCCAACACTCCAGGGAAAATAGCCCCAGTGTATTCAGCCTCTCCCCATAGCTCAAACCCACCACCCCCCCAACTCTGTCAACATGCTTGCGAATTTTTTCTGCACACTTTCAAGTGACATGGAGAAGGCCACTGTGTTCAGAAGGCTGTGGAAAGGTTTTATCAATAGTGACCTCAAGTGGGGCATAAGAGACAAGATGATGATGCTAAAGCACTGTAGCTATGTGGTTCGACTTCAGATAGATCAAGTGTCCAAGTCTGGATGCTACCATTCAGACAGAACATGAGCATTTGGATAAAGACTGGCACTGTGCTTGTTGGTCTGGGGAAAGTAAACAGGAACTTTCAGAGCTGTTTGAAATGGCAGGGGGCTTCAGGTCACAGTGCTTCTCATGGCAGCAGGATCAGGTGACTAGAGGAGAGGGGGTCCTAGTAAATTCTAAAAGAACTCAGAAGCTGGGAGCAGGTGAGGAGGATTCACTTGTTAAACGCAGTGAGAGAGTTGCTGTGATGGGAATACTTTGCTTGATAGGGAGCTGAGTCAACGCTAACCTTTGAAGGGATTGGGAGACAACGCTGAAAAGGAAAAGATCTACAAAGCTGTGCAGAAACAGGAACCAATGGAAAGTTCATTCAAAAGAACCAGCACAGGCGTGACAGGTGAATGGCCTTGTGCAGTTCGGGATGACGGACACTAACATGGAGTCCCACGTGAATTGGGTGGTGTTCACTGTCCCTCTCCTCCCTGTGTGTACCTGGGAGCACCGTGATGAAGTCCCTCTGAAGCATGGGCTTAAGGTAGGAGTTGATGTGGCCGTGTTGGTAGTGACACATTCGGGATATCAGGTTCTCGACAAATTCCACCTGATCGGTTTCTGTCCACTGGTCAAAGTATTTTACACACTGCTCCTTCTGTTTCTCATAGCTGGTCGATGGTGCATGCTGCTTAGTTGGTATCATGCTCGGCGTGCCATTGCTGAGTTTCGTCTGGAAAGGAATAAGAGTTTGTTCTTTACAGGAACAGAATTCTGGTTAGGGGCAGCAGTTTTTGCTGGTATCAGCAGAAGGCACAGATATTAACCTGGGGCAGGTTCACAGACACACAGCAGACAGACGGGGAAAGCAGACGGAGACAGGGAGTAGGAAGGAGGGGTTGGACGAAGTTGAAAAGCTCAGTCCAAGAGATTTTTATCCAGGGTCTTGCAGGAGAACAACTTGTTGCATTGCAAAGTGAATGGGGTGGCGGGGAGCGGTACAACAGACTGAGAGGTGCAGTGGGTGGCTGTAGCTGGAGGAACACAGTGTTTGAAGATAAAGACTGGGGTACGAGAGGATAATTTCAACTTGAGGAGGCTCTGCAAGTGGCCACGAGCAAAGCAAACTCCCCGTCCGCGTTCCTTCAGCACGAATAGTTCATTGGTTTGCACAGCCAGTGTCTTAACCAGCAAGTTACATCACTGCTAGCTGGTCAACACTTGACAGAAAGTTCACATTAAATTCTCTGATCTTGGGTTGCTTTGAGGACAGTGTTCAAAGTGGCTGGAATCCTCCCTCCCCGGTTTCAAAACACCAGCTCTACGGTGGGCAATTTGGTGGAGTTTGAACAAGGTGGGTGACCCGTCGATATAGTCAGTCACAATGTCGCGAGGTATTGTCACCTGATTAAATGTGTTCTTTCCCAATACAAGTTTCTTAGGGGGTTCAGCCTCATTAAGGTCATCGCGTCCAGATGCATTCTGGAGAGAGACGAGAGAAATAAAAACAGAGAGAGAGAGAGAGAGAGAGAGAGAGAGAGAGAGAGAGAGAGAGAAAACACAGCAGGTCAGAGTTGGAGCTTCGCAAGGTCAAGCCATTCAAGAAAAAAAAACCTACAAAGGTAAAGCAAAGCAAACAGGAGAAGGCGAACGAAGCAACGGAGGGCTCAGCGAATTACAATGACTGCCACGATCTGCTCAGTGTCAACTCCAATTCGAGTTAATATTGGGTGTTAATTCAAAGCCACTTGACCTCCCCCTCCCCCGACAAACAACCTGACTGTGGCTTCTTACGCAAATACCTGGCTTGAATTATTTACTTCTCACTTTCTTACAACCGTACTCAACTGCAAACTGCAGACCCTTTTCTGACAAGGCGCTAGAGTGTCTGCCACTGCATAAAGTGCACACAAATAATCTGACACTGGATTAATAACATCACACAGAGAGACCCTGTGGCTCAGGCCCCGTGTGTCTGCGCCTAACCCACCGCCCCGGCAACGTTAACAATATTCTGATCAGTTCCAAAGCAGGGTCACTGCACCCAAAACGTTCACCGTTTCTGTCTCTCTCCACACATGCTGCCAGACCTGCTGAGTTGGCGTAATAACACCTGTTTTTGTTTCAACGTTTTAGCCAGCACTGTTTCCAGCCTGAAGTATCACCTTGCCTTCAATGTCATCTGTCTGCTCCCTGGGAACTCCAGGAGTTCATTCCTGCAAGTGTCAGCCCCAGTGTTGGAGGGGGGTGGGGAAGGAATATCATGTATTTTACTGCCCTCACTTTCCAACCAGTCCATCCCATTTGTTTGCAATTTTAAACTCCTTGACAAAATCACCTCTGTTCTATCCTCATTTTCACAGCTCCCTTCACATTTACTCAAACCAGACAGCAGCTGAATGCATTCGTGCTGCTCTCCCTCTGTTCCACGATTATACTGCTCCACACAAACAGGAGGGTGAGAAGACCATTCTGCTCACAAGCTTGCTCTGCCATCTCGTGGGTGATCTGATGCCAACCCAAGACAACGGCACATTCAGTTATCAGAGAACGATCAGCTAATCTGTGCAGCTTTTTAAAAGCACGAGCACTTTAATAAACTCCTCTTCCTGCTCTTTGTCCACCCAGCGACCAATACCTCCTCTTTGTGAGTTTAACATTCTTATTGGATTAAATTTCGGCTGCTCTGCTCTCCCAAAGCCCCCCACTCAGTCTAACGTGCTCCGCAGCCTCCTGTCCAGCTCCATTGCTGCAAGCTCTTGTATACGACCCAGGCCTGGAGATTGGGGCATCATGCTGAAACCATGCCCTGGGATCTATCACTGGCACCCAGCTCACATCTGTTTACCTTCAAATGCTGCCGGGTAACCTTCACTACCTCTGTCTGATTGCACACCGAGTGCCCATCAAGACGCATTCCAGATTCAGAAAGACCCAAGCCGCAAAGAATTTCACTTGGATAGCACCTGTAACTCAGGAGAACGTGCGAAGGTACCTCTCACATACTTCGCAAGCCCACGATGCTCCATGGCACACTCAAAATGGCCAAGAAAATCCTCATGCAGGTAGGGTGAGCAGATGGGAATGTCTGGCGCAGCTTCACACAGCTCAGGGTGCCTGGAAGCTCCAAGAGGCATGTACAGGAGTGCTGTCACTTCCGTCATATCGGAAACACAGCAACACCGCAACACCAGCCCCCTGTGCACAGCAAGATCCCACAGACACACACGGACCAGTTCCTGGATCAGTGACTGAGGGCTACATGTTAATCAGACTTCACTCACATTTTCCCCCCCTCCCCACACACAATAGCATGGGATCACAGTTTCTCCAGATTACAATCACTGAGTCCCTAGCCTGCAGCGAGAGGCCATTCAGCCCATCGAGTTCCCCTGACCCTCAGAGCACCCCACTGTTTGATCCCATCCCTGTCACCCCCACATGGGGGTGTGCATTCACCTGGAGAGACAGGGGCTCACTCAGGCTTCAGCTCAAAGTTCTGGGAAATCTCCGACTCTGGTCACAATAAAGACAAAAGATCCGATTGGCAGGGATACACATCTTCAGGGAATCCCCTGGAACTCCCACGATTGTAACAACCGGTTAATTCTCGGCCCACGGGGCAAAGGCAAACAGCTGCAATTGGACTGAAACTCTGCCTGTTGCCAACAGGCATTCATATGGCTCAGGTAAACAAACTTCACGACCACAACTGAAGTGAGAGAGGGGCGGGACACACAGAGAGAGAGGGCGGGAGGGGGAGGGATGCAAAGAGAGAGACACACACACACACACACACACACACACACACACACACACACACACAGAGTGAGAGAGACAAAGAGACAGAGAGAGAAACACACACGGTGCCGTCTGTCACCTGGCCAACAGAAACTTTGGGAACACTGACACAACACTGCTGGGAGAGAAGCCTCTGAACAGTGTTCTGAAAGTTTGTTACAGCTTCTGTGAAAGCTGCCGGGCTGAAGATTGGAGCTCATCAAAGCTCCCAGAAAGAGCACTGTGTTAATGCCGTATTGCAGCGAGGGAACATTGCCAAGTATCAGGCTGGTAAATCCCCTGCAAACCAGTGTGACTGAGGTTGTTCCCCATCAACCTGACGGAGCCGAGACAGCTTGGAATCAGTGGCAGCTCCAAGTATTCAGTTCCAGCCTCACACAACCCCTGGTTAAACCACACAGACTCTCCTGGGCACCACACCATGGGAAAGATATCTCAGCTTCCAAGGTGAAGACTGACCAGAATGATAGCTGGACCCTAAGGGTGCTATGACAAGGAGAGAGTCAAGAGACAAAAGTTATATTTCCTGGAAAGCAAAGCCTGAAGAAATAATTCTAGTTTAGATTTACAACAGATGGAGTAAATAAGGTCACTTTAACAACTACCTAGGGATTGGCAGGTTAATCATTGTCAAGAGATATTAGAGCGCTACCAGTTTTGACCCCTGTCCAACAACTTTTACATCTGACAAATAAAAACTTCTCCAGGTTTGAGCACAAGCAGGTATATGGAGTTGGGTGACAGATTAGCCATGATCTCAGTGAAGAACAGGTTGGAGGGGCTGAATGGCCTCCTCCTGTTTTCCGACATCAATTGTGAGCTGAATCTCTCATGTTTGGAATCACAGTCAACAGTGTTAGCCCCTGAACTGTGGCCCATGCCTGACAAATCCAATCAGAAAGAAGACAGAGCAGTTCACCACGTGAAGAGAGGAGAGGGAGTGACCACTCAGTAAACTACCACTGCCTGAGAGTTTGCAAAGCCAGAGAGGACAGAGCACAGATCAGCTAATGTAATGGGGGCAGTGTGGGTGAAAGGTGGGTCCCCAAAGTAGGTGCTTTTATTGACAGCTGTGAAGGGGACGGAAAGTCCAGTGATTGGAGGGACAGGCAGTGAGTGACAGGGTACCACTCATTTATTCAAGAGTATCAGATGGCCTGAGCAGCCTCATTTGCTCGCACTGATCTTTACAGAGAAACTACATTAACGTACAAAAACGGTTTTTAATCATTTCTATGAAACACTGAAATATTTTTTGAGGCAAAGCTGCCGATACGCTCACTGCAACAAAATATCAGGTTATTCACTGTCAGATCGTTCCTTCCGAACTCCCTCAAATTACGGACGTACGAGAGAGAGAGAGAAAAGAAATCACGTGTGAAACGTCTAATGCCAGGTGGAAACTGAGCTACAAGCCCATTTCTCAAACCGAGTGGGACAGTGCAATCTGTAAAGGTCCTCAGTCAGGAGTGTAACTGAGCTTGAACGAACTGCAGCTCATCAGCACGGCCTGCATCGACTGGATACACTATATGTTTAGACTTCGAGGCTGCAATGCCTGCGTGCAATTCTTTGCAAACCCTTTTTCAGGGTGATGGCACACCTGCCAAAAGCCAGCATTCACCAGCCATCCCCCTCCTACACTGCTGCAGGTTCTGGGGCAGGTACCTGCAGAGCGCCACAGGAAGGACCTGGCTGGACTTTCACCCAGCAACAGTGAGAAACGTCCAAGTCAGGATGGCGAGTGACTTGGAACTTGTCGCTGGCGGTGTTGCTCTGTACCTGCTGCCCTTGTCCTTCTCGATGGAAGGGGTCGTGGGTTTGGAAGATGGTTTGGAAATTTGCTACAAGTGCCACTTACGCAGTGAACATTCAAAAAAAGCTGCAACGCATCCTTCAGTGCTGCACAACAGCAACAACAAAAGAAAACATCCGAAGGCCCCAGGTTTGATCCCTGCTCGATTAACGGATCAGACATGGAGAAGATGGACACAGACAGGATGCTGCAGCTCAGCTTGGTGTCGTGGATGAGAATCCACCATGCCTTCAGGTCCACATTGATCCTGATGCCTGCGAAACAAAACCCTCAGGGAAGTGGCTGTAAACTTTGAAAGGAGGCGGAGCAGGTAACATTCCAGTCTATGGTAAAAGAAGGTGTGGAAAGCTGGAACATCCAGCAGGTAGAATGCTTATAGAAAGACCCACCCAGGTGACACACCGATTACAAAAAGCCAACTACAAACCTCCGCTGAAAATCTGCAGTGCATGACACATCAGGGGAAGCAATGCAGAGTCAGGTGCCTATTCAGGAAGACTTCAAAGATCCCACCACAGTTTCTGGAGCAGCAAAGATTTCTCCCCTTGTACCTGGCTCTGAGCCTTCTGTTTTCCTGTGGACTCTGGACATGGAGAAATTTCTACACTTGCAAAAGGATCAAGAGTGAGATGGTACGAGCTGAGCGGAGGCAACGGCCTGACGGCATTATCATTCGTCTATGAACCCAGGGTCGAATCCTGCCACAGCAACTAAATTCAGTTACACTAAAAAAAAAAAACTGGATTTATACGTCTAAATGACCATGAAACTGTTGTTGGGAAAAAAACCTATCGGGTTCACGAGTGTCCTTTAGGGAAGGAAGCAGCTGTCTTGTCCCAGTGAGGCCTACATGTGGGCTCCAGAATCATGCTGTTGTGGCTTTGGAGTGAGCAATAACTAATAGCCTGGCCAGCAAGGCCAACATCCCTTCAATGGACATGAACAAAAGTCTGAACTAAATCAGCAGATACAGCAATAGCGATGTGAGAAATGGTCTTTTTCACAGGGCAGGGGCATCGGAGCTGGAAAGCATAGCCCGAGCGTGCGCTGCAGGCATCCTGAATCAATACACAGTGCAGAGAATCACACTGTTCGCTGGAAAGGAAGGTGGGAGCTTGCTGTGCACAGATTCCAGCTACAGCATCCCGAATTCTAACTCCAAGATAAGTTCCAAAATTCAATCCAGCTGAATGGCTGTCAATACTTTCCAAAAATCATGTATTTACAACTGAAGCACCAGGAACTAGACAGAGATATCCCTGAGACACAGAACGAAAGTGAGAATCACACTCTGTGCATTCAAGGCTGCTATGATATTTGACTCAGGGTGCCGTGGGTTGATCTGGTCAGGAATGCTCACAGATGAAGATTTCACCTGGATCTCTCCATCCAACTCCTGGTTATTAACTCACATCAATCAGTTAACCCCGTCCCTGAACAATTAACTCCAGAACGGCATCAGGCAAGGGAACAAGACAAGATGTGGTGTTTATGACAAATAGGTCTCAGTCCATGTCTACTCTTTTGTGCCAATGGGACCACCCATTCCAACCTGCTGTACTTGGCATTAGTCCATTCACTTACTCTGCATGGATTTGGGCTGGCAGACTCAATACCTTCGCACTGGATGGGATCCCTGCCAAGATTCTCAAAGGTGGCAGAGGGACAGCCCCGGTAAGATGCTCCTCACCTGATAATCCTCAGTCAGGAACAGCCCACGCCACGTGGGACCTCTCAGACAATGTTTGGGAAGAGCGCCGAGTCTGACTGCAACATCGACAGCAGTGTCTCTGTGCTGTTTCCTGCAAGATTCACAGGCGTGGAAATGATGGACAGGAGCGACAGGGAAGTGTCCTATCTCTGTGGCCTGAAACCTAACAACCAAAACTACCTGCAGACAAACAATGTCCACACTCTCTGAGCCCCATCACTGAATCCTTTCGAAAGAGAGGGCCTCGGTCTCAACCCCCCCAAGAAATAAAGCTCTTTTCTCAAGCAGCTGCTAAAGTGTCACAAATCCCCACAGTGAAGGCGATCGGGATGAAATCCTTGAAAACGTGGACCATTTTTCCCTAACGTGGGACTGTCCTCTCAAAAGCAAACACAGACAAGGAAATTCATGCCAAGTGCCATCTCAGCCTGAAGCTGACTGGGATCTCAAAGCAAAGACTAAATTTAAAGGTGGCCAGGCAGCTTTGAAGACCTGGACAATTTCTAGCAAACACTCAAAGCACTGTACAAATATTCCCACAGTGCCTTTACAGGACAGGGGGTGAGGGCAGAAAGGCCATTGTTCAGCAAGGTCCTGTCACAAGCCAACATACCCAGGGTCTCCTCACTGAAAACTAGTTCCACTGACTGGGACTCGTCTCTTGTGTGCCTGACACCACAGTCCCGAAGCAAATACTCCATTCGGAAAACCGCCACGGCAGGAGATTCCCAGTACGAGAGAGAAAAATACCTCAGGGATGTCCTTAAAGCTCCCTGGACAGGTCAAACATCTCCTCTGCCTCATGGGAGTGTCCGGCTTCTGACTCACTGAAACGTAGGAAGCTCACTAGGGAAGGCAAGGTACATGTCCACAGATCTCATTGGGAATACACAGGGAATCGGATGGCATCAGAATGAGGTCATGAAGCTCCCCCAGATGGATCGAACCAAGCCTGTAGATCACACATCAAGTCAGAATTAATTTATCCCTGTGCATGAGGGACAGCCAAAGGGAAAGAGAAACCAATGATCAACTTCTCATTCGGTTGATGAGGGGAGAAAGAGAGTTTCTTTGTTCCTGACACAGGCTCCATCCCACACGAACCAAAGCCTCCTGTCAAACAAACCATCCAGTTTCTGATTTGAACCAAAGTTCAAACCCACCCTACAATCCCCCCATTACGGACTTGGCGGAATTCAGACAAAAATATGAAGCACACAGCACATGTCAGAAGCTTGTAGGATCTGTTACATGTGACACAAACAAACAAGGGTTACATCCACAAATATTTTACATCAACCCTTCCTTGAAGAAACCAGGAATCACTTCTCATGGGTCTCACATCCCTTCACACCGGAGCTCAGTGATGTTCGCATCATTGTACATCTCACAGGCCATTCAACCCATCAGATCTGCTGTCTCTTTGAAAGAGCTATCCAATTAATTCCCTTTGCCTGCTATGCTCCTACAGCTTCCACTTCAAGCACTTAGTCGGTTCCCTGTTGAAAGTTACTCCAGATCTCAACTTGCAACTGAATGAAAAATGTCTTATTTCCTCTCTTTCCTGTTTAGAGCCTTTGTTTTGTGATCTTCAACCGACAGTAAACAATGTTTCTCCACTTGATCTAACCAGCCACTTTGTGAACCCTCTCCTCACCTTTCTCGGAACTAAGGGAAACAATTGCAGTCTCTCCTCTTTCTACATGTTCCTGGGACCTGTGAAATCTCTCCAAAGGATTCCTTGCTTCTTGAAGTGGGATGCCCAGAATTGGATACAAAACTTCAAGTGAGGTCTGAACAAAGTTTTTAAAAGTTTAGAATAATGTCCTTGCTTTCATACTTGATATCTCTCTTCATAAAATCAACGATCTCTTCTGACTGATGAACTTGCCCCGGCATCTTGGAATAAGATTGGCCGTGCTAAATTGCCCATAGTGTCCAGGGATGTGTAGGTTAGGTGGATTCGCTATGGCAAATGCAGGGTTACAGGGATAGGAGAGGGGTTTGGGTGGGATGTTCTTTGGAGGTGATGTGGACTTGTTGAGCCAAATGGCCTGTTTCCACACTGTACAGACTCTATCCTACAACCTCTCGATTCATGTTCCCTTGTAAAATTGTCCTTATACAGTTCATAGATTCTCTTCGTTCCTCCTCCCAAAATATTACACATCACAGTTTTTCTCAAGAGTTGGCCCGTTTCCCAAATAGGTTTATGTCCTGCTCAATTCTGTTACTGTCCTCCATCCAGGTTTGGGTCACTTTGAAATGACATCCTGTACCCCACCGCAACCCCAGACCAGGAGATGAACATACATTTGTTGTAAAATGTATTGTACATTATTGTAAAAGCACTGGTCCTTATAAAGACCAATGATAAACACCACAGTTTAGAATCTGGAAAACAACTACTCACCACTACGCTGAACCTGCTGCTTTATAACTGATTTTATCTACATTGCAACTGCTTCTCCACTCTCACACATGAACTCTTCCATTTGGTGTATGATGTGGGACATAAGCACATTTTGAAAATCCATCAACACACACGAAATAATCTTATCCCAGCCTCTCCGAGACTTCACAAAGCCCGACTGTTACTTTCTAAAGTCAAGCAGAATCTCGACAAGCGGTTAAATCGTTGGCTTACCATGTATTCCACTATCTTGTCATGCAGTATGGAGTCAGAGTCCATCATTCACAAGCTCAAAAAGAGCCAGAGGGGGAGGGAGAGAGAGATGGGGGGGGGGGGGGGGAGGGGGGGGATCCTGTGGAATGGAGCTCCCTCTGCAAGCAGCAGGAGGAGGCCACTGTCTCTCCCTCATCAACGAGAGAATCCCTTCTCAGTTGGCTCCAAATGAGAGGAATGGCCTGGGTGTTTGTGGGGTGGGGTGTTTGT